TACCTAGTAAAATTCCAAAGTGCCAAGAACCCAATTATCAAGAAATACCACAGAACCTGTCTCCACCTCATTAAAGAATAGCACTTGATCATACTGATTCCAACTAGCAAACAGCTCCAGGAGCATCAGGCGGTAGCCGTTAAGACAAAAACCCCTCCTGATGCACCAGAGTAACCCCTTAAGGGGGTGTCAAGGGTCTGGATGTACAAGAATTCTGGCTACTGCCAACTTACTTAACATCCAGCCATTGCCTGATTTCTTCCCCTTTCAATATACTGTTTGACATACCAAGAATGGTAACCAAGCAATATCACCTGACCGTCCAAGTATTCAGCAACTTGAACCCATCTAGCACATGACCAGCCCCTGGGTTTGATCCAACTAAAATCCCTGCCACAGCTAAAGCTATATAAGTCTAAAGTATTATCCAATAAAATATACTTCTCTTCTTTCTTAATTCCATATTTGAAGCTTCTCCAAAAGGCGCTCCTTATCAATAGATAATGATGTTGTATAGGTATTCTACACAGCACTGGTCCTTAAGGTCACCTAGCACTACGTCTACCATGGTTTGGAAGGTGCTGGGAGCATTACAGAGGCCAAATGGTATAACCAAGTATTCAAATAGCCCTTGTCTGGTTTTGAAGGCTGTTTTACATTTGTCTCCAGGCTTGATAAATATCTGGTTGAAGGCGTCTCTTAAGTAAACTTTAGAAAAGATGATTGATCAAGAGATCTGATCTGAAAGGTCTCCAGAGCTTGGAACAAGATAGTGGTTCTTTACAGTAATATTGTTGAGATTTTGGTAGTTTACACAAGGCCTCAATTCTCCACCCTTTTTCTTGACAAACATCAGGGGAGACAAACAAGGGGATTTGGATACGCGGATGTAGCCTTTCTTCAACATGGTGTCTAGGTATTTGCTGAGAGCCCCTTTTTCTTTCATGTTGCATCCATATACAGGACCATGTTTGGGCTGGGTTCCAGGGATCAAGTCAATAGTGTGGTCAAACCTGGTGTGATTGGAAAGGGCTGTGGCCATGGTCTCAGAGAGCACTGATTTCTGTCTCTTTAAGCAGGCAGGTATTTCTCCTTTTCAAGGCACCATCACCATGCTGTTAAATAGGGAAGATGTTAGGGTGGTCACATAGGGTAACTTCCAGGTTGTACCTACATGTACAAATTGCACCTGTTGACTGATATAGTCGATATTAAGCTCATTTTCTATCCACTAATTGAACCCCAACACCACAGGTTGGGGCAACTTGTCCATTACCAAGAATTTGACCTTGATCTGGGCAAGATCCAGTTTCATAATAAAACTTCCTTTACTCTCAAAGGAGATATCAGTAAAATTATTTCCTAGGGCAACCAGGGTGGGTTTATCTTCCAATTCTAGTCCCATTTTCTCAGCTAAGCCTCGTTCAATATAATTGTGGGTGGCTCCACTGTCCATGAGAGCTGGTATCTTCAACTCCTGGTCTGAATACAACTAGGTGGCTTGAATAATATGGTAAGATTGAGAAGATCTGTTTATTGCAGAAATAGTGGGGTTCTGGGCAGTGGAGCTTCTTGTAGGGTAGTCTTTGGACAGGTGGTCATTTGGATGGCAGTAGAAGCATAAGCCTGCTTGTACGTGGCACTGGTATTCTTCTGGGGCCATGTTCAGGTAAGGGCGTGTGGCAGCTTGGTTTCCTTGTGGCTGGTAGTTTCTAGGGGGCACCATACTTTGGGGCTAGCTGAAATCCATCCTGCAGGCAATGGCTAGGAGTTTGTCCTTGGGGAGGTTGCAGCAGTGATGGAGCATCAGGTTGGTATGGTGATTATTCAGGCATTTCTGAAGTGCAGGACAGAGATGTTACCAGGTACTTCAGCAGCTACAGCAAGTCTCAAGAATCTCTGAATGTAAGCTTCCAGGCCATCTATACCTTGGCTCAGGAAAAGAAGGCCCATATAGGCTTGTACTTTTGCTCCTGCAGGGGTGGTGGCACTATTCATACATTCCAGGAAGGCCTCATACAACAAGATCAAGTTGGGGTCGCCCTCCAGCAAGTTGAGAAAAATTTCTCTGGTGTTGTTTTTCAACTGTGCTGCCACCATCATCACCTTTTGGGCGTTGTCACAATATTTATCAGGGTGGGCCCTGAACAGGGCGTTGATCATGATCATGCCTTCCTTGAAGCTGGCTAGGTCCATCTTGGGTAGGTCAGGGAAGCTGGTGGGTGTGTAGGCGTTCTGGTTTGAGGTAGAAATGTTAATTTTCTGTACTTGTGCAGTACTGGGGTGGGTTTCAGGTCTAGGTTCTTTGTGAGCAATTGTGCAGCAGGTGCAAAACTGGTAGGTGTAGTAAGCTGTGATCATAAAAACAAACATACAAAGTGCCCCTATTATCAATTGAATATAAGGGCTCAGGCTTACAAGTTTGAATAGTGTTGACATACTGTCATGACCTGGGTGACTCCCAGGGGAACCTTTGGTAAAGGGGAAGGGTCAAGCCTGGAAGGCCCAGTAGATGATGGGGGCCATCTGCATCACATAATTGGCAGCTGTAGCCCTGGGACGCCACACTCCCATGTGGGGTATTGCTTGCTCAGTGAGCCCCAGCATGGTCAAGTAGGCAAACCCAAGCTTACTGTAATCATATGATGAAGCAGAAGGAACAAGAGGAAGTTCCCTGTGGTGGCGCTCATTGTCAGGCTTGGCTGGGCAAGTTGGTGGAGCGGAGGAACACCAGGAAAGGAAAGGAGTGGTACAGGAATTAATTCTTGGTCCAGCACTATAGGAGATGGGGCAAAGGCTGGCAGTGGTTGGTTGGGGACAGCAATAAGTTGCTCTGTTTCCCAGTGCTAGCGTTGGTACTGGAGGTAATCTCTGTTTGAAAGCACAAGCAATATAAAATTTGTGATAATGTAATAAACCCCCGCAAATTATAAATGCTCAGTGTGCATTAACCAACAAAAGTCTATTAGATGAAGATGTCAACAAGGAAAGGGGTTATCAGTGTTCTCAGCTATATCCTGCTGGGAAACTGCAATTGGACTTTCTGGCAACTCATTATTGGCTGACAATGAATTATTCTTGAGTTGGGTTCCATTGGTGACTCCTGATTTGTCAGTTAGATGTATCCTTTCATTATTTTTTGCCCTGGGGAAGCTGGCAGGAGAATTTTGGGCCATTTGGCAACCCAAGTCCCCAATTCTGGGTTTCAGAGGGTGTTGGCTAATTAAATTCTTTTTCACTTAGCTTTGGGACAGTTTCTAATTGCCCCCAGGTTTGGCCTTGACCAGGGTTCAATTCTCCACTTGGGATTAAAGTTTCCCTTTGGTTAATCTGTGTGATCAACAACACAATTGTTTGGTTGCATGGTTGCTTGATTGCAGGCCTTAAAAATATGCAACATAGGGTTTTGTCTGGCACATTCTGGGCCCTGACACCCAGCAGACACCTGTAAAAATGATATTGTCATTATAAAATAAGTAAGATAATGTGGCTTTGGTTCTACTGTTTTATTATGTATTTAGTTTGGTTGTTTTTCACTTCACTACTGTTATAAAAGAAAATTTTGGCCTGTTGTTCCACCTGCCTGCAAAAGAACCAGATACCCAGGCCACATTTTATTGTCCTTCAGATGCATTTATCAGCCCAGTGTATTTCTCAGAGTATCCTCTCAAACCAGAATACAAGGAGTTCAACTTGAATAATACACTCTGCTTTGTTTTCCTGGTAAGACAGAGAATCTCATAACAGTTTTCCACAAAAGAGCTTGGTACAAGCACCCCACCGCTTTATTATGTGAAAGATGCAATCACCTTTCAGACTATCAAATCAACATGGAAGCCCCTCTCACACCTAAGCCTGACTAGCTGCCCCCAGCCCTGGACCAACACCCCTCTATGCCAATCAATATGTAGGTATAACCTAGATTACCCTGACCAACTAGTCAGCACTATGGTACCCTTGACTGGTCCATAATCCTTGATAGGCCTCTTGGCATCTTACCTCATCAAGTTAGCACTTCTCATATGATAGGCCCACTCTCTTTCTAACAAATTAATTTGGAAGCTGAGACCAATGGGATCTTTAAAAGGATACAGTTTCCTTGCAGTCAACTTGATCCTCAGTTCACTCACTCCTATCTCCAGATGACTTTAAAGCCTTGTTCAGACCATCTTTTTGTTGCAACCAAGTTTCCAGACTTTCCTGCTAATATATCTTACAATACACAGAGGGCGCTCAATGAGTCACCCCTCGACATGTCTAACAACATGAATCAATCTGATGGCAATGTCAAATGGTGGGCATTTCCTCCCAATTAGGAGTGTTACCAATTTGACCTGCTGATCCCCGCACAAGTTATTCCTTGGCTTTAAGCCTTACATGCAACATGCCACTATGCCACCCCCTTGTGGCTTTCCCCATATGGTATATTAATTGCAATATTCTACAATAAACAATACCTTATTCTATCCATTCTTGTCCTTTCTATTGGACAGTTGTCTTCTTTAACCCAAATACTGAATCCTCCATGGTTCAGTTGCAACACTTTTTTTAGTAATTCCTCCCAGAACAGACCAAGCAAATTACAACAACTTGGTTCTTCCATATCCAGTTCTGGAACCTGCCTTTTCAAACTGTCACCAGAGTAACCTCACACATGTAGCTATGCATGAATGAACCAGGGTAATCTGGTTCCACCCCCACTATGGTGTAAAAACCTCCCTATTTTTCCTAATAAAGAAAGTTCCAATTAAAATATTTCTAAATTCTATCACCTTCAACTGTCTTTCTGATCTGCTTGACTAGACTTATTTCACTGCTATACAACTGATAGTGTTACAATGCTTTTGGATTGATAGCACAAAAACTATAATTAAAGAAATCATCAGTAACCCCAGGCAAGCCAAATGAGCTTGATGGTGAAACCCAACTTTATAGTAAAAAACTAATAGTGGAGGCAATCAATAGAAGAAACCAAAAGAGTAAAAATAGGTTTTTATAATCTCCCCTACAGGGAATCAAACCCTGGCTGCTCCAGTGAAACCAGAGTATCCTAACCACTGGACTTTTTTTAAAAAGAACCCCCAGCAGGGGCTCAAGAAGCTTTATTACTTTATTAAATAAATAGGGAAGGTATTGGTGGAATGTAAGTGTTTGGTTTCCAAGGTCATAGAGGGTATGCATCAGGCGCTGTCTGGAGAAAAAATAGGCTTTGGCATTGAAGATCCAATAGTTGATAGCATCCTAACCACTGGACTACAAGGGATATGGTTTTTTAAAATACTTTAGTTCATGGGTTTAACACTATAGAAAACACATAATAGTTTTTTGACCAATTGACAACTTAAATAGGGCAAGTAAATTGATTTTTTTAGATATTTAACACTTTTTAAATATTAAAAAACTTTAACTTACACCCATTAATTTAAAAAACTAAGGTTTACAAAACTTTTTTGACGTTCTATATTCTCAAAATCCAGCCTTCAGACCTGGTACTCAGACTTTTAGATCAATTTAAAAAGCCATTTTAAATTGTAGCTAAAAAAGAAATTAGTCAAAAAGAAGTCAATATTATTGGTAACCAAGAATTATACCAATTTTAAGGATTTTTTATATAAGTAGTTGCCCTTTTTTGATACTTTTCTGACTTTGTTCAGAGATTAAGTTTAAAGTTGTAGCTAGGGTAATCAGGTTCTGTGGTTCTATCTTGTCTTGAAGTTTTCTGGCACTAAATGTATTATAATTTACTTTCATTATTTTTTAGATCATTGTCAGATTTTACTCAATTTAAAATTTGATAAGAGAAATTTGCCTGCAATAAATACCTCCAGTCTACTTTAGATAGGAGAAAATGCATAAGATCTTTATTTGACTGGTAATTCTGGATTAGACTCAATAAGAGAAATTACCAGAAATTTAAAGCAAAAACAACCTAAATTCATTTTTCCATCAGAAAATGACTAGTTCAAGAATTTTCCAGTAAAAAATCCTATTATGATCAAATAAGCATAATCACTGATCCTATAGGTGCTCATAAATTTTGGACCCTAAAATGCACCACTGATACATTATCTATTAAACTGAAAGTTATTGATAGTCAACCATAAATAGCTTCACACAGCTGATAAGATAATCTTAGATTCTTAAATATCAAATGTATATAATTGCCAACTGTGATCAAATGTATATCAACTGAGTAAATCTAACTAAAGTTATATGTTTATTTGAGAATGTCAAGAATGCTTTTTCAATACTTTTATTAAAACCCTGGAATCAAACTCTGACACCCTAAAGATGAATTGCATCAACCAGGATAGACAGAGACCTGCCAACCCTCTGGGTCACAGACAAAAGTTATTGAATTGCCCCATAACCTGACAGCTTAATAAAGGAGATTCCCTGAATGGTCATCAGATTGCACCCAGCCTTGTGCCATTGAGGACCTAGACCTACACAGAGGTTGTGGCTTGCCTAAAGGAGGTTAAGATGAGGCCTGATACTGGCCCTTCAAATGAGTATCAGCTGCTGCCAGTCTCCAGTCCAGAATTGGCAACACAATTAGTTGGCTCAGGTAATTTAGTGAACATCAGCCACAGAAAAAAAGCATCTCCACTTATGTTCACCAGAACTGGCCCAACCAGAAGCTGCTGTCCTCAAAAACCTGACCCAAGTTCCACACCCTGCCAGTGAAATACCCACAGACCTGAAGTCTGCAAAATCAAAGAGGCAAAATCATATGATATAAAAACCCTGGCGGTATGGTGATGACCATATTGTCATTTTCAATAATAAAGTTTTATGAACCTTTGGTTCAAAAAAATTACCTTACCTAGTCTTAGTGATCTTCCATCTTAACTCTGTTCAAGTAGACCATCAGGCACCCGTCCCCTCTGGAGACCAATCCACTGACCCACTACTGGCGCTATACTGTTCCCCTGGATTACCCTTTGGACCAGCACATTTCACCAAAAATCCCCTGAACCCCACCTACTATGAGTTCAACTTGGAGAATATACTACTTACCAACCCCCTGGCAAGGACTATAGAGACAGAAACTATATATTGCAAAGGAAAGTGGTACATGAGGCTGCCAAGATTGTTCAAAGACAAGCACAGTTATCTTTCCGCATACCTGGTTCCTATGACCTGCCTCCAATCCCAAGCCCTGTCTGCCTAATGAAACCTGCCACCGCCAAGATCACATCCACTCAACTGTTTGGAGTACTGTACATTACTCTGACAGGCTTGGTGGACTCTGTGGTGCCCAGCTCTGGTCCCTGGTCTTTGCTTGGGCAATCTGTATCTTATTTTATCAAGTTAGCACCCATTCTATGGTGGGCATTACCCACTGGCCCAGCAGTACCCTGTCCCAAGTCATCTAATGCCTCTACCCACGCCTGGCTTCCTGACAGAGAAGGAAGAATAAGTATGTAGTTAAAATTATGTATCATGGAGATTAATAAAAATCAAGTATGTATTTTTGATTTTGAAGTTTTCAGTAAGTGTATGCGTTTTTAAGAGAAGAAATTTATGTCTATCAGGGTTATACTTGGTTTAAGAAGTATGATATTCCACACCAGTAGCTTTGTACAATTTGAGCTAAAATAGACAATGTATTGTATAATTAATAATTTATATTGTACTGTGTTACTGCTAGAAGATAGATTATTTTAATATATATTAAATATATAATTTAACAACAAATTGCTTGTATTAGAAAGAATTTCATTGTGATGTCATTTGGTAGCTTGGCAGACATGTAGATACATGATTTATAACTTAAGGGATAACCTTTCAAAGTTGTATGATTCTGCATCCTTTTGACTTATAATTCAATTTACAATGCCAAGTATTTTTTTAAAAAATAAGCCTAGTCACCAACTCTTTTTGGGTGAAGATGTGTTCATAGCTAAAAAATACCAGAATTAAAGTCACCTAAGAAACAACCACATTTGCCATTGGGCTATATAATATAAATCCAAAATAAAAAGAAGTGTACATCATTGTCAGGGAGCCAGCTGGTAGTGGGATTAGGCTGGTTAATGGGAGGACATCCCACAGTCATGGGGGGAAGGGCCAACCAGAGGATGGGTGCTAACTTCACAATGTAGGAGAAAGATTTTTATAATAGGGCCCATGGCCCATTAGTGGGTACCATGGACTCAATGAGGCCAGCAAGGGTGATGTAGATAACTCCAAATAGCTTGGTGGAGATGGTGTCAGTGGCAGTCTCTTATTCCTGCAGGCAGCTGGTTTGTGGGGTCACCGGCAGTGTCATGTGTAATATGTAAGCTGTCTTGGGAGAATACTCAGGGGTTTGTGCCAGGTCATAAGAAATTACTGGGTGTTGGTGTAATTCCTGCAGCTTGGCGTCTGCTTCTGGTAAACAGAGGTCCAACAAGGCGTGGTTGGATTAATTGTTATGTGAATGTAAAAGTGCTAATAGCAAGTATGGGATAACTTGGGATAACTAAATGATTATAACACTTTTATTGCAAGAATAGCAATGAGCAACTTCCTGGCAACTCCAGGGTATAAGTATGCTCATCTACCATAGAAAAATTTTTCTTTTTCCTTTGGGCTGGGTGTTGGTGTCTACTTAGGCTTGGGAAATCTTGGTGGCATTGACTGGAAGAGGTGCATTATTGGCTGAGCTCAGATAAAGAATTTTGGTTTCTAATTTAGTCTTAGAGAATTTGTCATCATCTTGCGTCCTGCTAGACCACAGAGACTGGTGTTGGTCTTGGGTCAGATTTTGTGATACCTCATTTGCGGGGTGCTGGTGGTCTATAGAGGAACCATCCAATTTTGGGCAACTAATTACTGGATTGGGAGGGTCTCTGTCCCCATACAATCCACCAGTAGTTGATGCTTTATTAGTCATAGTCAATAGTTTCTCCAAAATTGGGTTGGTTCCTGGTTAGGGTCCAATGACTTGTGGGTTGGCTTTCCCAGGGATTTGGGGTTTGGCTCTGGGGGGGCGGTACACTGTCCCTTCATTGGTCAGCAGTATTTCATTATTAGGATCAGGTTTGAAGTCACACAGGTGGGACACTGTCCCTTTGATGCTCAGTAAGCAAGTGTCACTTGTGACAATCAGAATACTCAAATATGAATTGTACTTGGTTTGGAATAGCTAAAATACTGCATTGACTATGTGGATTTGATAATATCCACCCTGATTATTAAGAAAGGATATTTAAATTGATAAGGAGCGCCTTTTGGGGAAGCCTCAAATATAGAATTAGGAAGAGAAGAAGTATATTTTATTGGATAATACTTTAGACTTATATAGCTTTAGCTGTGGCAGGGATTTTAGTTGGATCAAACCCAGGGGCTGGTCATGTGCTGGATGGGTTCAAGTTGCTGGACTCCTGGACAAAATTATCAGCTTTAACCCCAAAAATCTCAATCAATTACTACAAGATCATTTATTTCTATGTATCACCAAAAACTATAGCAATAAGAAAATATCAACACAAACAGCATGAGCACTTTTAGGTATTAAGCAGTGCAATTCAAATATGTTATGTTGACTTTGCCTTCAAAGGAGGAGGTGGGAATGTAATATTATACCTTGATAGTTGCAGAAAGGTAGCAGCCATAGTTTTTAGAAATATAGACAAGGGGCAAGCAAATAAAAATTTTAAGCATTAAATAGAAAAGAAAAATAGCTCTTTAGATTTTTCAAAATGAAAATATATAATGGAAGGTGTAAAAGAACTTGTTCTTTATTGGTAGATTTCATAACATTATACAGTCAAATATTTTGCAGGTGAACACATTTAAATGCAAGGAGTGTATACATCAAAGTATCTACACAGAGAGAGAAGTGTTAGAGCCAAATAAAAATAGGTTTTTACCAAATAAGGATCAATATGTAATCAATTCACGCCAGCCACATACATTTTCAAATTAAATACAAATATCAGGACACCAGCATCAGGAATTCCTTTAAGTCTCCTAGTGTCATTATTAACATATCCTGAATACTTTAATTCAAAGAAAAATAATTAGAAATTGTCAAGCTCTGGGTTATATCTTTAGCTTCTAAACTATAATGAGTGATTTTCCAAACCAC